CGTGAATCCCGCGGGCGCGAGGCTCCCTTGAGACCAACGTGAACCCACGGGATTCGTCCAGCGCCGTCTGCGGTACACAAACACACACACACACATCGAGGACCGAAAAAGCTTGCCAAGTCCATGGGCAACCACAAAGTTGTCGCCGTTGAGAATTGACATGTGCTCCTGCTGGGCACGACGGAAGGCTTCACTCGTGACTGCAACTCGGAGGGCAGCAGCGCGAGCGTGGACACAGAGGCGCCGAAAGCCGTGCTCAAAATCAGGGAAACGAAGAATGACATAAGCATTAAAAACTCGGAGGTCCGCGCGGCCCTCCGAGGTTTTATGTTTATGTCATTATTCGTTCCCGTAAAAGCCGAAAGCATTCAACTGGTGCAAGAAAGCATTCATGTACCCTGGGGTCATGCTCTGAAGCAGGCAACTGTTCTCCTGCGTGCGGCACCGCGGGCTCGCCATCTGCCGCCCCTCCGTTGTCCAGCTGCCGGAGCTCTGGAACACTCCCTGCTACGGTAACGTGAAGCTCGTGGCGCTTCCCCGCGCCGCCCAACGCCCGTCGTGGAAGCCTGCGGCGCTGTCGAACAATTGTTCCTTGTTTGCTTTACCCTCCTCCACGCTCTGGAAATCTCACCTTGCACGAAAAACATATCTACGACGAAATGCAGCGACTGCAGCAGATCATCTCCATCACTGTCACGCCTTCTGTGTACGTGCGATCTGGCGCATAGAACGCCATCAAGTCATCAAGCCGTGCTACTCTCACCCCTCCCCCAAACACGCCGACTGCGTGGCCCCACTCCAGCTGTGGAAACCGAACCTGCGAAAAAGCAATCAAGGGGTCGGCGGATGTGGCGCAAGTTAATCGAAAAGGGTCGAGGAGGATCGCAGAGGATCGGAGAGGATCGCAGAGGATCGCAGAGGATCGCAGAGGATCGGAGAGATCGCGGAGGATCGAAGAGGACCCAACAAAATCAAGTGCCCAGGAGGATCGAGGAGAATCGAGGGTCGAGGGTTGAGGAGGATCGGAGAGGATCGAGGATCCAGGATCGAGGATCGAGGTTCCAGCAGGAGGGTCGAGGATCGAGGGGGATCGAGGATCGGGATCCCGGCCCGGCCTCTGGCCGCTCGCCTGGGGCCCCCCCCCTTGGCCCCCTGGAGGCTCGAGCCTCGAGCCTCGAGCAAAAACGGCGGCGGCGGCGACGACGGCGCTGGCTGCGGCGGCTGCCGAAGCCGTCCTCTCGTCGTGCGCGTCGCCGCCGGGAGGCCCAAGCTCTGGGACCCCAGCGGGCTGGTCGCTCTGGGACCCCAGCGGGCTGGTCGAGGGCCGAGGGCCGAGGGTCGAGGGCCGAAGAGGGTCCGGGGGGGGAGGGGGGCAGATCGAGGAGGGGGCGAGGATCGAGCAGGAGGGCCGAGGGGGCGAGAAGGAGGGTCGAGGGTCGAGGAGGGTCGAGGGTCAGCGAAGGAGGGTCGCGCAGGGACAATCGAGGGTCGAGGAGCGCCGAGGCTCGACGGGCGATCAGTGGGGTCGAGGATTCAACAGAAGGGTCGAGGATCGAGGGTCGAGGGTCGTGATTCGAGGACCTTGGCAATTTCCAAAGTCTACCAAAAGCTCTCGGCCGCTCTTGGGCCTCCCCGGCCGCCGGGGACTCCCAGAGGGTCTTGGAGAGGCCCAACTCGAGCAGGCCGTCACCGTCGCCGCCGCCGCCGCCAGCGTCGCTGTCGAGGAGCTGCGAAACTCGAGGAGGATCCAGGATCGAGGTTTTCGGACGTCTTGGTCTTGGGCGGTTTTCGGGACTGCGAAGGCCGTTCTTCCCCTTCGGGGATGGGCTTGATCGCTGCTTATCCTTGATGGACACCCGCTCCCCGACTCGGCCGGCAATCGGCCAGGAGCAACGCAACAAATCTTAGGTCGGGCATGTCCTCCTACAGGCGGGTTTTGGGCGGAAAGAATATTCAAACAACTATGCAAAAAAAGTCGAAACATAATCATAGAGTCGTCCCCGTATGTTGTTCGACTATTTTTTATATTCCTCCTGTAGAGGGACAGGCCCGATTTAACAACAAGTCACCCCCCCAGTCCGTCAAAACGACAAGCGCACCTTGCGGCAAAAGTCAAAAGCCTGCAAGAGGCGCCCCGCGATATCACTTTGCACTGCTTCTGAGCGGGGGCGGCGTGGCGGCCATCGTGTTGCCCGCCGCGCGCAGGCCCAGCATCCCCACCAAGGACCAGTGCAGAGTGATTGTGAGAGCACGCACAACCTGCAATGCTGACAACCCCACCTTCACTTCGCACTGATTTTTGACAGGGGCGGTAGGGGGGGGGACATGTTGCCCGATGTGTGCTGTGGCGTGCACTGGCGCACCTGGCGCACTCTGCGCGCGACGCGCACGTGGCGAACCTGGCCAGAGGATGGGTCACGTGGCACACTGGGCGCATGTGGAGCACGTGGCACATCTGGCGCACCAGGCGCGCCTGGCACGCTTGGGTCCGTAGGGGCCCCTGCCTGTGCTGAGACCTGGATGCTGCTGATGTAGTGGGGGTGAGCGAGACAGCTTGCGGCGGTCCCGCTCGGAATATGACCCTCCCCCCTCCCCCTACCACTGGGTCTAGACAGTGGGGGCGGGGACCAGTTGGAGCGCCAAGGAGGCCGAGAGTGGTCGAAGAGAGCCCGAAATAACCTCCAAGATGAAATCAGATAATGCAAGATCGCTCAAGATGGCCAAGATCCCTCCACGACGTTTCCGAATGGCCACGGAGCCTTCAAAGGATGCCCCCGAGAGGGCAACATTGACCCAACACCTATAGAGACCTATGTGTCTTGCCTTCTCGCCTTTTCGCTTCCGAGTGCCTTCCGTTTCTGGATGGACGAGCGGGGATAAGCGAAGCGTCTAGAAGTTGACAGTTTAGTCGGCATGCACATCTGCAAACACATACAACACATGTCTTCAGTCCTCTGCGTACACAATCCGCCACCGTGCCGCTGGGCACGGAGTGGGCGTCCTGAGGTCATTTGCCCAATCCCCTGAGCCTCGGTCCTCGTTCCTAAAGGTTCTTAAGTGGCCCAGACCTCTCGGACCCCGGGATAGGCCGAAGGCCATTACATAGTAGATACATCAACATGTATGCAGAAACGCACTACCACTACGATCGCCGCCGCCACCACTACTACTGCTACAACTGGTAGCTCTCACAGAGGGTCGGCCTGTTCAAAGGTACGACAGCAAGCTGAGAAGGACAGACGTTTTCCAGCTAGCGATGCGTCCTGTGCAGCAGCAGCAGCAGCAGCAGCAGCAGCAGCTAGAACTGCAGCATCGGAGTCCGCTGCGGTCGACGCAAGCAAGCGTCCACTGGTGGTGCTCGCCCACACTTTTATGTCGTACGCAGGCAGGGAGAGGGGGGCGGGGGGGGAAGGGCGTAGCGCACAATTCTCCACGCGGGCAGCGCAACATGCGGAAACGATGTGTCAAAGCGTTTGCGCACTACGAAAACGCCAAACGCTCATCAACGCCTTCGCATGCGTCTTGCGTGGCTGTGGCATGACCCTGAGGTCCGACGCTGCGAACAACTTGCAACATCGTGACAAATCACGACCGGAGGCCAGGACCGCCCCTTTTTGCGTCACTTGTCGAGCCGGAGCCTGTAGACCCTAAACCCTGAGCAGGCATCCGCAGTTGGATCCGGGGTGCACCTTGCTTGATGGTCCTCGTCCGGCAACGCCTCTGTCGAGATTCTCCGCCTTCTCCGCCGAGACATAGTGACTGCCATGCTTCCACGCCGCCTGGTTTCTTCCTCGTCTCCGCCGACGTGGTGACTACCGTACACCCTGGGCCGGCACCCGCAGTTGGCTCCGGGGTGCAGCGTGCTTGATAATCGTCGACAAGCGGCGACCTTTGTCGAAATGAGTCGTCTTCTCCAGCGACACGGTGGCTATGCCGCTATGCCGTGCAGGTGGCCAGGCTGCACCTCAATACCAAAACCTCAGCTAACACCCGAAGCTGGTTCTGGGCCAAGGCGTGCCAGAAATCCGACGTCCGGCGGCGGCCCCCGCCGAAAGGCCATGCCTTCTCCCACGACACCCAGACCCCCAACGTCGTGATGCTTGCTCGACGTCCACCTCCCAGAGGCCCTGGGACCTACTCCCTGGGACTGGCACTTCATCCCGAGTCGCTTCTTCCCGAAAACAAGACAAAACTGCCCGTCGTGACTTCTTCACAACGCGAGGGGTCTGGCACGGCGGCTACCACGCAGCAGGTGGCCCGCACCCGGGCCCGGCCGTACAGCGGCCGCTGCCCGCGGGGTCGCCAGCGCAGCCCGGCCCGGGCCCAGCGGCAGAGACGAGAGCCCAGACATCCGGCAACGAGACTTTTTTCAAAACGCGCCCCAGATTTGGGCGTCGCTTGATGGGGGGGCGATAAGGGAGGGGGAAGAAGGGTGCACTTCTCGGGCCCTACAGGCCCCCTCTTTCAGGGACCTAGAGGGTCCCTTTTCTACAGCCCTCGCTGCCTTCCCGTTTATTCCCAGATAGCTCCTTGGAGAGCTAAGAAGGGCTGAAGAAAAAACCGTCAGGCAGGGCTACGCCAGCTCCTCTCCAATGTTTCCAGGCAGGCATCCCCGCAGCGGGTTGCTTGAACCAGCAACGCGTTCCGAAGACGTTGTCCTACTCGTTCCCAATACGCGTGCCAGAAGCCTTCTCGCAGCTCTTTCGCAGGCTCCTGCGAAGCTCCCTCTTCAGAGCTCGCAAGCTCCCCACAAGCTCCCTTCCTAGATTTTCCTGGCTCCCCAGGCGGCAACCTGTGCAGCATCCGTGCAAGCCTCTCCCACAGGCGTTTCACGAGCTTTGGACTACGTTGCTAGATAGCTCTCTGAAGGCTAAGAGGGCTTCAGCTTAGAAGCCGTCATCGCAAGATAGCCCGGCAGCACTTGCGGGCGCCGGTCAAGGAGCCTCGCAGCGAGTTGCTTGAACCAGCAGCATGTTCCAACAAGCGTTTTCGTACTCGTTCCCCATGCGCGTGCCAGAAGCCTTTCCGCAGCTCCTTCGAAGCTTCCTTAGAAGCTCCTGAGAAGCTCCTCTCTCGAGCCTGCGAGCCCCTCAGACATCTTCACAAGCGTCCTTGTAAGCGCCCCCCAGAGGCCTTTCACGCGCTTTGGACTGCTCCACTATCCTGGCTTTGGACGCCACAAGTCGCCCCCCCAACTGTCGGGGGCGACCAAGAGAGGGGCTTCCAAGAGGGGGAGGGTGCAAATCTTGGCCGGCGGCATGTGTGCGGCCCAGGGGGGGGCCAAGGACGTAATGAAATAACAAGAGGCGCCATGAAATCTGGGGAGATATCATGGCCCCCGCCATGATATGCCGCCATGATGTCACCACCCCCCTCTTTGCCGCCCCCGACTTACTCGACGCCCAGCCAGAGGTCTCGATGACTTCCCCGGGGACAGCCTGTCGCCCCTAATCCGCTTCTGATGGCCCCGGGGCCCGAGGGCGGCCTCCAGAGGTCGACCCTGAGATCCGCCGGACAAAAAAAAACATCGGAAACTTAGCATTTATGGGGGGCAGCATGGACATTATAGGAGGAGGGGGACAAGGGCTGGGGGGGTATAATGTAACGCCTCCCCCCGCCGTGTGCCCGATGCGCACGGCGGCAGTGCCTGCAGCGCACTTGGGGGGGAGGGGCGTTACGTTATTGGGGGGGGAGGAGGGGTCGGGGGCTATAGTGCCCATGATGCCCCAAGCAGTGAAGAAACACGCTCAAATCACGACCAGAGCCCCAGACCACATCTCTCTGCGTCATTTCTCGACCCGGCTCGATCTGTGAGGCTCCCGGGGCCCGAGATGGAGCGAAAACGCCGGTTGTGAAAAAACTGCCACGCCGGGATCTCCGGGGAAGTCGGAGTCGAGCAGCGCCGCCGGGCCTGGAAAAATCGCACCGCCGGAGATCTGGGGGCGCTGCTCGCGGGGCCCCCGACGGCGGCGCCCGGCACGGGCCATGGCGGGCCCGACGCAGCCGGTGGCCCGCACGCGGGCCCGGCGGCACAGCGGCCACGGCCCGCGGGGTCGCCAGCAGAGCCCGGCGCGGGCCCAGCGCTGCTCGCGGCGTCCCCGACGGCGGTGCCTGGGGCGCACATGGTGCCAAACATGTCCTCCTTGGAGGTGCGCGTCCGACCCGAACATCCCGTAGACCCATCTTGAGGTATACCTCGTTTCCCGAGCGGGGTGGCCAGAAAGCGCCCGCCACGGCGCAGAGAATTGCAAGACTTCTCGGTGCGCGCGTCGCCCCGGGGGGGTGAGACGCACATACAGTCTAAGTATGTTGGGGTGACGCCGAGTGCCGGGTGTGGCCGGGAGCGCCAGCTCGAGCTGGGCCCTGCCGCGGAAGTGGTGCAGCAGCCGCAGCAGCAGCTCCGCCCTCGCGCGCTGCTGCTCGAGGCCCTGCACGTACCCCTCGCGGCGCGCGCGCGCCTGGGGGGAAGCGGAAGGGTGCCTTGCAAGAAAAAGTCCTCCTTTTCAGTCTTCTCCTCACGGAAAAATCATCCTCCTCTTCATCCGTCTTCTCCACTTCCTCCTCGCCTCGTGGGGAAGGCACCTTCTCTCCATCCTACATGAGGCCTTGTATCCTACATCAAGAGGCCTTGCGCGGCAATTTGAGACCCAGTGCACGTCGGATCCACGTCGGATTTGCGCAAGGTTCACGTCGGATTGCGTGGGGATTTACATCGGATTCACGACGGATTTACGTCGGCCTTACGTCGGAACATCGCCGTGCGAAGGCCGTCCCATATCTGACGGGGCAGACGTGCGGACGATTGAATTCAACTATTGCGCACCGCGCGAGGTCTCGAAGATGTTCCTCATAGGGGTACCGATACCTTCGGATCCGCCGTACTTTGGTTGATCTCCCGACCTGCAGCTGCGTCGGCAATGCAACCCAAACGAGGCGAAGAAATACGGCGGAAGGATCCGCCTCAGAAAAAGCAGGGCGGAGATGTCCACAAAACATATGGCGGAAACTGCGACGGCCAACACAAAAAATTGCAGACGTCGGCATCAAAGGAGCATGAAAAAGTAGGGCGGAACTCTCCTCCTCCTCCTCCTCCTCCTCCTCCTCCTCCTCCTCCTCCACCCTACTTGCGCAATCGCCCAAAGTGCGGCGGCTCCGAAGTCAGTGGTCAGGGGTACACCCCCAGACCTCTCCTAGTGCGCAATGCGGAACAGGAGTTCGAGGAGAGGGCGCGGCCGTGGCGGCGAGGGCTCTCATGGACGAGCCGCAGCATCGCAATCTTCGCATCCTCGCATGAGATCCGACGCTGCGAAAAAAGATAGCATCGCCAAATACAAAGCCTGGCGCCCTAGGCCCCATTTGTCTGCTGCATGTCCGAGCCAGATCGATCTGTGATGGTCCTGGGCCCAAAACCTAAACCCCCGACGTCGCATGTTTTTCGTAGTCTCGACCCCAAGAGGTCTCGACCCCTTCCCCAGGACCGGTTTCTCATCCCGAGTCGTGTTTTGAAAGAGGGCCCCCAGGGGCCGAAAACACGAAAGAAACGTCCGCCATGTCTTTGTCGCGACGCGAGGGAGGCCGAAGCCTAGAGAAACCGCTGGGTGCGAGAGCGTTTCGACGCCAGGGTCCTGGGCTCCGACGCCTGCTCCAGCAGGCCGAGCAGCTGCGCCCCAGCCCTTCTCCCGGGGCGCACTGCTCACCCGAATGTTCTTTGACGCTGGAGAGAGCCACGATTTGCCGCGATTTGCTCGAGATGTCCCTGGACATGTCTGGGTTGACCTCGATTTGCATGGGCTTCCTCGCCTCACCTGCAAAAATACCTTGACTCGTCTGGCTCGATCCCCACGAGTCGCTGGGCGCAAAGCCGTCGAGCCCTTGGGGCCCTGACGCCTGCTCCAGCAAGCCGAGCAGCTGCGCCAGGGCAGCGTGGGACTCCCGCAGCATGCCGCGCACGGCGCACGCCTGTACGAGAACGGCACCCACGCACCGCACGGTCGGACCAAGGACGGAAACACATCCTCCAAGGACATGAGACCCTCCGCCGGCCAAAACACCCAAAACCACAAGATCACTCGAGGGTACCCTCCCCCAGGATGCACAAGAACATCCGACAAGCACGAAGAACATCAGGGCACCCTCTCGAACCGACCTCGATCTTGTGTCTCGGTCCGAACGTGCGGAAGGCTCGTGTCGTGACGACCCTATGCGTTGGCTTCTCTGACGGCCAGTGGATCTTTCAGCCCAATAAAAAACCACGTCAGGCTTCTGTTATCTGTTTCAAGCCACTGCCCCCTCTGATCCACAGCTCTTGACTAGCTACCAGACCACCCCAACCCAACCCGAAGACCCGAATTTGACCCGAATTTGATCCGAATTTCGGGTTCGGGGGGGGTACGGGTTCCATGCGTTTTTGCAAGGTTCCCCGACCCCCCCCCTGGAGATGGAAGGCAAATTGGAGCCTTCGGGTTGGGTTGGGGTGGTTTGGTGGGTGGCGAACTCTGGAGGCCCAGTGCTGGGCTAGCACTGTGGAATGCCATGACAATGGACACTCTAGCAATCCGACCATTGAATGAAACATGTGTTAAACTTGTGTAAGACATGTTCTATGTTTTAAATATGCTTCAAACATGTTTAAAACATCTGGAGATGATTTGGCAGCCTGCTTCCTCTCCATTAATCGACGTCCACAAGGCTAGTACACGGGTCCACCTGTAGAGGCCGCGACTTATGGCCTGGGGAAGACTGTCCAAAGAATAATCGAAACGACCAGCCCAGGGAGCCCTGGCCGACGCTCGGACGCACTCCAGGACACTCTGCCAAGTATGATGCCTTTCTTGAGTTGCGTTTTGCTTCGAATGCTGCGCTCGGCCCGCTCATGGAAGAATCGCCCGACGCAGCGGCCAGCGCTGCGATGCCCGCGACGTCAACCTGCCCCCCGCGGAAACACCGCGCACAAAGCCATGCCAATTGATTAGCCCCCCACATCGACCCCGCCCCCCCCGCGCGCGGCTCCAAGCCCCCGATGCCGGTGATCACGGACCGCCAGCGCCGACCCGTCGTCGCACTCAGGAATCCAGCCATGGCGACGAGCCCATGGGACGTGGCTTACCCGCGGGAACGGGGCGGAGATGTTTCGTATATGTTTCGTAGATGTTTTTTGCGTGCGTCGATGTTTCGTAGATGTGTCGTAAATGTTTCGTAGATGTTTTTGTGGGCGTAGATGTTTCGTAGATGTTTCGTAGATGTTTGTAGATGGTTTGCCGGCGAGGTTCGCCCCGCGAGCGGATTCGGGCTCGCGCGACCACCTCGCTTGTGCATTGTAATTTACAGCACTTCAAGCGAGGTTCGGCCCGTGAGCGGAATCGGGCTCGCGCGACCACGGTTTCAGCAGATGCGACCGCGTCGTTTTCGACCCCCCGGAAATGCACCGGAGATGTTTCGTAGATGTGTCGTAAATGTTTCGTAGATGTTTTTGCGTGCGTAGATGTTTCGTAGATGATTCGTAGATGTTTCGTAAATGTTTCGTAGATGTTTCGTAGATGTTTCGTAGATGTTTCGTAGATGTTTCGTAGATGTTTAGGTAGCCAGGGCTCGTGGGCAGGCGGGGTTCGAGCGCTCGAACCCCCCCCCGGGGGCTTCTGAGGCCCTCCCACAGAGTTCCAAGAGGCCCTTTTGAGAGCCCTCACAGGACGTATGATATCGTTTGGGCCGAGCCCTTTCGATGCGTGGTGGCGCCATGCCAATTGATTCCATTGAACGGAGCAGCCCGCAATGACAACAACACAGCGAGAGCCCACTGCACGGCCCCGCCACACAAGATCAAACCACCAAACCACGCGATCCGCCCAAACCAATAGCAAAACAACCGAGCTGACGGACCAACCAAACAAAACCTGGACAGCCCACTACTCGCGGCCTCTACATGTCCACCGAGGCTTACAAAACTGCGTGCAAAGCGTCGGCCTTCCCGCCCGCTTGCGCCGGCGGACCCTCCGCCGCTCCGCTCCCGCCGGCCGCCGCAGGCCCAGACACCCCCGACGTCGCGATTTCTTGTTCACGGCGCCGCCCTCGCGAGGTCCCCAGACCCCCTCGCGGTGTGAAGCAATCACGACGGGAGGTTTTTCGCTGTTACGGCCTCCTGGGGGCCCTTTCCGGGCCTCGGGACCGTCAAAAAAAAAAAACTCAGGACGAAAAATCGGTTCCGGGGAAGGGGTCCAGACCCGTGGCGGTCGACGTTATGAAAAAATCCCGACGTCGGGGGTCTGGGTCTGGACCCCTTCCCCGGGACCGGCTGTTCATCCTGCGTCGTCTTCTGACGGCCCCGAGGACCGGCAAGGGCCCTCGGAGGGGCAAAACCTCCCGACCTCCTCCTGCTCCGCCTCCTCCATGCCTTCTCCTTGCAAGTATAATCCCACCAGCCCTCTGGGCGTAGGTGGTTTAGAGAATTTCTTGTTCCACCCCCTTCCCCCTCGGGGAGGGGTTTACCCCTCCCTTCTCCCCCCTCCCCTGGGCCTGGACGGGGGGGGGGTCGCGAGCGGTCAGACGGCACTTTTTCGCCCAAGACGGCTCCAAGAGCGAATCGGGGAGGCCGAGATGACCTCCAAGATGGCTCGGGATGGCACAAAATGGCCCAAGATGGCGTCCAAGATGGCCCAAGAGGCCCCAAGAACGTTCCAAAACGGCTCCAAGAGGCCTCCGAGACCTCCAAGGAGGCCCCCAAGAAGCCTTAAAATTTAAAAACCCGAAGGAATACCCATGTTTTTTGCATCGTCGCCCGCTCGCTTCCGATAGCCTTCCTAGGCCTCAAGATGGCTCCAAGATGGCCCAAGAGGGCCCCAGGAGGGGGCCCAAGAGAGCCTCACAGCGGCCCCAAGAGCGCCCAACAGCGCTCCAAAAGCGCCCCAAGAGGGATCCAGGAGGGATTCCTTGGGGCTCCCAAGGGGAAGGGCGAATTGCGACCAGCCCCATTTTTGATCGGTGTCCTCCAAGATGGCCTCAAGAGCTCCTCCAAAGCTCCCAAGAGCGCCCCAAGAGGGATCCAAGAAACGCCCAAGAGGCTTCCGAGAGGCTCCCGAAAGGCCCCAAAAGGCTCCCCGAGGCACCCAACACGCTCCAAGATGCCTCCAGGACCGCTAGGAGGCCCCCCAGACGATCCAAGATGCTTCCAAAAGAAGTCCAAGAGACATCCGAAGAGACTCTGGGAAGCAAGTCGCCTTGGCAACGTCCCTGGATGGGCTGGTGGGGATAGTTTTTTAAAACCGACCGCTAGCGGGCAGCCGCGCGGCGTCATGAGTCAAACTGGTCGCGAGCGTCGCGGTCCAACCGCGCGCCGTCAAGAAAGTCGCGTGAAGAGCGCAAGCCCGTCTGTCACAGGCGGCGCGCAGGAAAAGGGCCACAACAGTGGCGAGAACTACGCGGCGGAGGCGAAGACGAACAAGAGACACAAGGGAAGAGAGCGAGGCGACGAGAAACGGCGAACGAACAGACAGAGGAGAAAGAAAGCGGCGACGAGACACAAGGAAGATAACGTAAGGGCAGATGCCACAGTTCAGCCGTGGAGCTGGTGGGGATACTTTTTAGTCAGCGGCCGCAGGCGAAAGCGCCAGCGGCGTGTCCAGTCAGAGCGGGCCGCGCAAAGACGAATTAACCTAAAGCGGCGGGCCGGAGCCTCACGCAGCACCTCGGCGGGCAGGCCGGCGAGTGGAGGGGGTTGGCTGCAACTGCTGGGAAGCTGCACTGCCAGGGTGCACGCATGCAACGCGCTGCAAGGATGGGCTGGCTGCCAGGGTGGTCGGCTGCCAGGGTCTGCAAGCTGCGAGTGAATTGCATGCAGGGGCGTAGGCACCCACGGAACTGCAAGAGTACCAGGGTGTCTAAGTGGACCGACTGCCACGAGACGAATTGTGTGCCCTATGCACTGGTGGGGATACTTTTTGATTGACGGCTCCAAGGACAGCTCCAGGAAGCGGGACGGTCTCGGCTGGGGCGCAGGGCGAGACTGGTGGGGATATTTTTTTTGATCTGCGGCCCGCAAGGAAGAGTCCAGAAGGCGTGTCAATCGGGCTGACTGGGGCACAGAGCCAGATAATTTGCGAACCCGGCCGTCACTGTCGACAGCCGACCGCACATGCAAGCGCGCAGAACAAATTTGGAGAGACGCACCTCAGCGTCGGCCGGGAAGACGCGCGGGAAGAAGCGACCCAGAGGGTGGGCCAAACGGGCAGACGGTGGCACAAAGCCAGAGAATTGCGGAGCGGCCACAGACGAGAGACGGCCGCACAAGCAAGCCTGCCGAGCAAGCCCAGG